GTCCATGTTGGGTCCACCAGCTGAGCCACCAGAATAGAAGCCTTTTAGCTGCTTGGGTGGTGAATGGCTTGGTGTATCCCACTTGGTCTGTGGCTCAGTTCTGCTATTTTTTACTGAAATCTTAACTCTTTTAGGAATAATAATTTTCATATAGTTCCTCCAAAGTGAGGGCTCAGAAGGGGCATAAAATTAAATATTAGGTGGGGAAAATGTCAAAAGTATGAGGCCAGTTATAGGCACCTCTGGGGCTTGAACCCTCAGATCAGCAGTCAAAACATACTAGAGGAATTTGTCAGTCTCAAGCCAGCCTCTGTACTTGAAAGGTGGGGGCAGGCTGTCTGAGGAAATCCTTCTTCAAGTATCAACAAATATAAGGCCATAAACCATCCTGGCATCAATCTGAAGCAAGTCAAATACCAAGACCCTCTGGATAAGAACTCTGTTTTTAAAAAAACTCAGTAGAAGAAATTTTAAAATACAGAATGTTAATAAGAGGGCTACAGAAGAGAGGAATATCTGCTGTAATACTGACCAGTCTGTGTCTTTTGTGAGTCAATGTTATGTACTTGATCACAAAATCTACTTCTTCCTGCAATATTATGTACTTGATATTACATTTTATTTCAAAGGCTTTAGGTTTTGAACTGTAATTTCTAAGAAAGTGTTCTGTCATGTATGAAAGACAGCCTTCTTTTTAAAAACTAATGATAAATCTTTATTATCAATATAATTCTTATTGAGATCAATGATAATTTTACCAGAAGCATAAAACTAATATGTTCGTTCTACAGTTTGAAACTTCCTTTTGCTCTTCTGGATCATAAATCTCATTTGTTCCCTCCTTGTGTGCTGAAGTCACTGAAAATGATGCAAAGTACTTTTACATTGCCAGTACAAAACTTGTTGTGCACTGAAAGACAAGAATATAAGAGAGACACATTTAAACTTAAGTGAAATTAAGTAGCAGTTATTATTATTTGAAGACGTTTGAGGTCATCAAATCCAATCTTTGTCCAATCACCACCTTGTCAACTATACCCTAGAACTATGTGCTACACCCAGTTGCTTCTGGAACTCCTCCAGGGACAGTGACTTCACCACCTTGCTGGGCAGACCATTTAAAGCTTAACCATCCTTTCAGAGAAAACATTTATCCTGATGTCCAGCCTGGCGCTCCCTGGTAAAGCCTGCAGCCACTTTCCTTTGTCTGGTTGCCTCTTGTCTGGGCGAAGCAGCCGACACCCAAAGTGCTACAGCCTCCTTTCAGGCTGGTGTAGAGAGTGATGAGGTGCCCCCCAGCCTCCTTTTCTCCATGCTAAACAACCCCAGCTCCCTCAGCCATTCTGCGTACGACCTATTCTCTAGATCCTTCGCCAGCTTCGTTTCCCTATTAGGTACAACTGTTAGGCATGTGTGCTATACAGCTGCACAAGCACACACAGAAGCACACTTGCAAGCACCTTCCATGCATCCTTAGGGGACCCAAAGACCTCAAAGGTTGTGTTTGGCTACTATTTATGTGAAAAATGTATGTAAACTATGATGAAAAGCAGAGAAATATTTAAGTTACACCCAAGCAGCGCAAATCTGTAAAGCTTGAAATTTGTCATTATTCCTTGAGGTGGATCTCATAACTGAATAAAGCAATATTTTCTTTTCTTTTCTCAGTCACTTTGATTCAGAGTATGAGGACAAAATGAAAGAATCCATTATTATTCCTAGAAGTCAAATTCAGAAGCTCTGAAAGATTATATATGCACATTGAATGGTATATAATTTGTGGTTTTATATCCTGACTTGGGACAATGACACACACAATGTCTGTGCTGTTGTGAATAAAGTTAGGCCATGCAGTCTGCTTGGATTGAAAACTGCTGGTTTACCTTGTTTTCATTTTTACTTTTTTTTTTTTTTTAATCCTGTGTGTGTATGAAGAATTCTTTCTTTTAAAAATATTATTATTCAAGTGCATGCTGAAATTGAATCATGCTATTCTTACATAATTTTTCATTGGATTGTTGCAAGCTGTAAAGAAATCCAATTAAAGTTCCCTTGCAGGCACAGGGCCTCATTCAGGATGCCTTTATAAAGCTGGCTTGTTGGATTGTATGGCATGCTTATGAATTGAGAACCACTGCGACCCTGTCCCATTCCTTGTCCTGTGTGACATGACGGAGAGAGAGGGAGCTAACAATGTTTCAACGAACTTTATTATCAGAAAAACATAAAGGCTATGCCATCATTTCTGCTGCCATGGTTTAGAATATGCATGTGAGTGTGTATTTGCAGACAGCTTTCAGCTCTGTGTGGTTCACACACTATCCTCTGCGTCTGACATTCAACTTCTTTATACTAGGGGTGCATGATTTTTATTCAAATGCTGAAGATGATGCACACAACCTCTGTTGAAGACAAGGTTAGTGGAAGCAATTTTTAGAATAGCATTCTAGTTTCCCAAGCTGCACAATGTAGTGCACTCTTTTCCTATCGCAAGGAAACCAACTGCAAAATTTCTGGAGTTATATTACACGGCAGTCTGACTGCTGCACCATTTGTCTGTGTGCCTTGCTTCTCATTTAAACATCATTGAATGATCCCAATGATCAGCAGGCTTACTCTGGCCAGCTTCAGTAGGGCAAGGCTCACCTCCATCCATGGACACACATCATGGAAACATACAGAGCCACCTTCTGTCACTATCAGACTTTGCCTTCAGTATTTGTAACCACTGTGTATCTCGCATGTAAAGGACATTCTGGGTTGAAAAATAGGAGTGCTTTGGCTTGATCAATCTGCTTCTTCTCATTGCTGAGAAAGAAGGGGCAAACCTTGTTCTGTAGGCTCCAAGCACTTTCCACATCAGAGATTACTTGTTGTAAGGAACAGAGTATTTATTTACCCAGTAACTACAACTGTCTCCTTTCACCTCCTCAGACTTCTATATCCTGGAGCTGGAAATAAGCTGTAAGATGTGGAATGCAAAGATGATAAAGATCAACCACTATATCTTCCTGTTAATGTGGAATTGATTTCCGTGCTATATTTCCTGATGTTTTTCCAATCTACTTTAAATGTTCCCAAGTGTTCTTTTCCCTTGAGAAATTATTGCACTGTCTAATGTTATGATGATGATGATGGGCGAAGGGTAGTCCAAATCTAGTTCAAGAACTGAGACAGAGATGTATGCAAATAGTCTTACTGCCTGCGATTTTCTTCTGATAGTCAATCTAAATTTTTCTTCTTTTAATTTCTTCTCATTATTGCTCTGGTTATACCCCTGAAACTAAGCTAAATAATTAATTGTCATTTTCATTTGCTTCAATGGGAGCCATTCACACATATCAGAGGACAAATTTTAGCCCTTAATAAAGAAATGAACTATTGTCTCATCAAGCAGATACTGAAAATGCTGGCTTACACCTGGTCACACAAGAGAATTGAGATCTAACTGTTTACATAGATCATTTGTCCTAAGAGTCACCTACAAGGGTAGTATTCTATAGATTCTTTATAAACTCAGTCCAGAAAAGTAATGTAAATTAAGTCAGAGTACTCACGCCAAAGCCATATTTACACACTAATTTTGCATTTCTTTAGCACAACTTGAGTTTAGTGTAATTTATAGAATGGTTGGTGTGGATGTGGTTTTTCATTTTCTAGAAGCATGACACCCAGATATCCTCTTGACCATCTGCTACATTATTTTCTAACACAGAAGTCTATCCCTCCTATCTAAGTCAGGACTGTGCTGAAAAAATTAATTTGGAGCAAGTTTTTGACAGTAGGTTGATCTTGAAAGGATACTCATTGGAATCCTTTTTGGTATTGGCTGTATCAAATAATTAACTGTTATTCAACAAATCATGAGAAGCACTGCTAACAGGTAGGGAGTGTAGAGGATCAGTGACAAAGCTGGAAAAATAGATAAGACAATACATTGTTGAATTAAGTAATGCATGTTGACTGCTAACAAGAGACAGGAGAGAATGTTTGTCACTTTTTAAATGGAAATTCTCAGGCAGTCGTGTAACCAGAAGTTATTTCAGACTCAAATAGACTGTAGTCTGTTTTAGCCACTATTCTGTCAGAAAAATGCAAATAGAAACAATCTGGACTCAGTACGTAAGAACAGAAAGTGTCCTTGAAAATGGTATAGTCATTAAACTGGTCAAATGTCACTGAGAAAGCTGTGTTTATATTTAGTGTACATTTCCATGGGCTGAGGAAAATACTTCCTTGGAACGAATATAACCAAGGACAAACATGACTCATAGCAGACTTTAATAATGTCTGAGATGAAGGGCTTGCTTTTTTTTTCATTCTCAGAGGATGAATTTAGTGTAATCCTGGGCTGCTCTCTGACTTGCTGGGCAGTGTGTGGTAGGGAGGACTGTTAGAGACAGAGGGGGAAGCAGTGCATCTCCCCCAGCTCAACAGATTCTGGGAACTTGGCCTTTTCAGACCTGCATACACTGTTGCTGACTCAGTTTCACCTTAGACTTGCTTTCAAAGACAAGTTCAAACCAAGGGTTTAGGCCCAAAACAGGTAACCCTTAGCTTTACCTGGAGTTTTCTTGTGACAGACTATGTGTAACCTTGTGAAGGACATGGCTTGCCCCTGCTCTTCAGCCTCTGCGGCTTTAAGCACAAAGGCTGAAGTCATCCCTTCTGAGTCTGGTGATGGAAGGCGTCAGAGTCTTCCCCTGGGAACACCGGGCCATCAGGAATTAGAGTGATGAGCCGTGCAAGCAGCGAGAGTAAAAGAAACAACCTAAATGAGAGAATATGAAGCACAGAAGAAACCACTTTGCTCGTTTGCTTCAGTTCTTTTTGCTGGGTAAAATGACACCAACAGGATTAAGTCTTGCACTTTAATTTGGCAGTAGCATAGGACAGTAGCTTCTGAAATTTGGAATTTAAATCTTCAGCTTCTCCCACTGCCCAACACCATGGTTGCACCTCCCCGCTTAGGAGTTAATAAATTTTCCTTTTTAACTTTCCAGGTCCGACAGGCCAGCCACGTCTCTTGTAGCTTGGATAACCACCAGAGGTCAGCAAACCACATTCCAGGGATTGCCGAAGTGGTAAGATAAATTACTGGGTTTGGAGCCACGTGTTTTGTTTTGAGTATTCAGAATACTGTGGTGGGCCCCAGACAGAGTTAGAGTAGCATTGCCAGTGGCAGCAGAGCTAGTTCTGCAAGACTCAGCTCTGCTGCAAGGGTAGAAACACCGTGCTTTAGCCTGCTTTGCACAGGCTCCCACAGGCCACGTCCTTTGAAACAGGCTGAATTCCACAGAAGTAGTCCAAACCAGGAATATTCAAAAATAGCAATGCCACTCAATTTTTCTGCAGTTCCAGGAGACGGAAGCTTTTCAAGCTGGCTAAACTTCGTCCTGGCCCACCATGAAATATTGTCCAAGGGGAACTTGAGAGACCATCGTGTGGAAAGAAGCTGGGAAAGAGAAGGAATTTCTTCCACTTCCCCATTCCCAGAATGAGAATCTTAGAAGAAAGAATTGCATGGGGTCAGATGTGAGAACTGTCCCATTGCTGGTTCCTGGCTCATGTTTTGCCCAGTTTTTATATGCCAATTGGCCCTATGGAGAGGTCTGATTAAAGGCACATCTATGTCCAGGGCATATAAATATTCTTTACCATTGCAAGAAACTGGGCTGGGAGTCAGCTGTAAGTGTATCTTAAAAACATACATGAGTGAATTGGACAGAATAAACATCTAGCTGAATGGGTGCCTTTTTGACTCTGTAGAAAGATTTAGAGGTAATATGTAGCAGTTAAAAGATACAGGAGGCTGGAAAAGAAGAAAGAAGGAGGGGGGAAGCAGGGCTGGGAGAATTTCTCTGAAATGTGTTCTGCATAATCTAAAAGAAAAATGTATGTAATTTGGACCCCAAATGCAGGCCAAAGCGACAGCATCTAATAGGGGAAACATGATTTAGAGGTCAGTTTATAAACTAAACAAATTTACTGAGTTTCATAAATGAATCTCATGGCAAGATCCCAAATTTTTTTAAAAGTTGGATAAAAAATATTGTATGTTAAGGAGGGAAATCAAGATGGTTTTTAAGCTGATGTCTTTAGAAATATATGTATATAGACTTTTTTATAGCTCTTGGCATATAAAATAAGTCATTATTCTAAATAGAAAAATATTGATGATGTCATAGGAGCCATTGCCGGACACATCAAGCTGATCTGATGAACTGGGAAATCAATAGATATTTTCCAAACGAGATGGCATTTCTTTTAATTGGTTGTGTGAACGCGATATACTGCAGAGGGCAAACATTTAAAGTTAATTTTCATTTGGCTTGGATTTGTCTGTGTGTGGTTTTACTATTTCTTTACATAGAAGTTTTTTAGTTTAAGTCCTGATTTTTTCTATCGGTTTACATATAAATTCCTTATCAGAATAGATGAAATATCACCTATGTATTTTAGACACTCAGACAGTATAGCTTTGGGAGCTATTTGAATAGCTACCAAGATTAGAAAGTATTGAAGATTTTACCCAGTAATTCCTATGCTCCTTCAGACCGATTGAAATTTTTAAAGTCAAATAAGTCTTTTAATTTCACCTCCATAACAGATACATAAGCAGTTGTCCTTATGTCCCATAGCAAGTGAACATCAGAATTTGAAACAGAAATCCCAGCTGCTTAGACTTTAAACTAATTGCCAGGTTGTACAAATGGCACACATCGTAGATCAATATATAACATACAATTCAAGTGTTATTAAGTAATATTGCATGCCCTCCAGAGCCTCTAAGACTCAGAATTTTTCAAGGGCATATGATAATGAAACCCTTGTAAAAACCACTGTTGATCAGCAAAGGATGCTGGGCAGGGACCTTATTTGTATGAAGTATTTTAGCTTTATGGTTTTGCATGTCAGATTATCAGTAAAAGAATCTGCCAAACATTTGTTAATTCTTCAGACAGCTAACATTTTTTGTGTAGTTGGTCTTTCATCAACTTCGCATTTCTCCCCCTGAAGGGGGGTAAGAAATAGAGCTGGTATTAATCTACCTGTGCTAAGGTACATGCAAGTATATGGTATAATATCATTTTTGATTTTTTTTTGTTTAATTTTTAAATAAACTCTTATATGGATTTTGTTAATACAAAATTCCTTTTGTTAAAGGAAGGTATTCAATTTATTTCCGCAGTTATAATGGCAGAGCAATTTTGCTGTTTCAGCTGAAGTGCTGCTAATTCATGCAGATACTTTAGACTTCATATCTTATGGAATTTATTTGCTGATTATATTCCTAGAGAAAATGGCAGTTACTGCTATTTGGGGTGGTTTTGTTATGAAGTTTTCTAATGCTGTCAAATGTGAGCATTGTGCCTTCACTAGGCTCATTCTGCACTGGTGCTAAACACTAATTTTATATTTGCTTGCCATAAATTTCATACATTTGTCCCCAAATTTTGCTGCCTACCCTCCTGCTGTATTAAGTGTCCTGGAATAATTTAATTCACAATTTGATTATGGTTTGCCTTCTCCTTATGGATAAATATTAATTTATTAAAGAAACTCAGTCATTCCACTTACATCTCTTCCCTATTTGATACTACTGAATATAATAATGTGAAATACTATTATTTATTTACACTGCAGTAGTGGAAGATGCTTTGAGGACATTGCTTTTTTTGTGTCCAGGTATGATGCACTTCATCATTAAATTGCATGAAAGCCATAAAACATTTACATCTCTTAAAACATGTGAAATCTCCACATTTACATCTCCTAAAACATGTGAAATGTCCACAGAATTTAGCAAGACTTTGAGACCACCCAGTTATACTTTCTATTAGTTATTTTTTGCTGATCAGTTTCATGTTCCAAAACATCCGTTGTTTACACATAACATGTCTAGAGCTGCTTCCAACATTTAATTAATTTTCTTAATATGTAAATAATATACCTAAGCATTTGTAAAATGTCTTTGACTACAGCATCTAAGTGCTTAGTATGTGTGACTTACTAGGGATAGTGATTTTTTTTTCAGCTTCGGAGGAGATGAGACCAAAAGCAAGATTCATCTATTACGGAAATTTAGTAGAGCCACAGTGCAACTTTCAGGGAGCTCAGTTCTGTGTGGACAAAGAAATTCTGTTTGCTGCTGTTAAGAATATTAAAAAGTCAATGGTTATAACCATGGACAAAATGATCAAAACTGCATTCTAACTTTGCATCTCTAAAATTATACAAATTTACCTTTGCACTCACAAAATCTAGCCATCTTAGTTTATAGCGAAAATAATTTCTTAGCTAACTGACAGTATTTCAGATAAAAACACCTTGGAGAACAGATGTGATCCTTGCACTTACACATTTCATAGAAATCATTTTTCTGGCTATAACTTGGAACAATGGATCCATATTTCAGAACAAAGAAGGGGTGTTGGCCTCACCCTGGCAAATACTTGACCACCTCGATGAGTTAAGATGTCTCCATGTCCCTGTTGTGCAGCATCTGACAGAAAATGCCAAGTTTCTTACTCTTGGTATCTTGCAAAGCTTTTATTTCTTCACAAACCATGTGAAGGTAGGAGTTCTTTTTCTGAACTTCTGAAAACAGCAATAGCTGCATTCCTTGCTTATCTCTTGTTTATTTTCAATGCACCTTGGCTGCATTTTGCTGGGCATGTTGTTTTGTACGTGAAACAGAGATTTAGTATCATATCTTGAATCTTTAACACCACTCCTTTGGAAAGAAACCCATTCTCTTAAGTATTCCGAAAATGCAGCTGTAATTCTTGAGTGACTCTATGTAAAACTACAGCTTCTTTTTCCACTTGGGAACAGATGAGGAAAGTTATGTTTATGTGGTATGAGGAAAAGGCAAAAATTTCTTGTAGTCAATAATAGCATGGGTGAACAAGTACAGTGACTTCATAAATAGCTGTACTTGTGAATGGCAACAAAAGTTGTTCAGGTTAGTTGAAAATCACAATATTAGAGAGATGACTCAGACTTAAACAAACCTTTTTTTTCCATTGATTTTATGGACTTTACATTTCTAGCTATGGGAATGATGGGTGAGGTGTGAGGGATTATGAAGATTTTGCAGCAGGTCAAGGAATTAGGCAGCAGCCAGAGTGCCAGTTTATGAATCACAGCTCTGTCGCTTCCTCCACAGAAAAGTGGTTTTAGCCACCGGCATACACCTCTGCCTCCATTCTGCCAGCCAAGAGAGGGGTTTCCCTTCAAGTCCCTGCTAAACCCCTTCACTGTAACTGTTCAAAGATGTGCAGAGGACATTGGGGTTGCTTGTTGCTTTCCTTTTATTTTTTGCAAACCTGCTTTGCTGCCTAATCAGATGACTAACAACACAAAACTCTCACTACAGGAGTTATTTGCCATCATTATTCCTTCTCTCTACGTGGGTGATAAAAACCCTTCCAGTGGAACAACAGTCTAAAGAAAATAATAAACACATCTCTCAAATTACACAGAGAATGACCATTCATCCAAGAGTTAGGGATTTCCTGGATCTGTCAACAAATTATCCATCAAAATACTAGCAAATTACAGGAAACTGAGGCCTTTAATTGACTGCAGAATGACTGTGTCCCTTGCTTTTGTAAAATAATTTGGGAATTGCTTTTAATATGTTTTGGCTATACTATAACTTTATAGGTTGAGCAGCCAGTGTAGAAATCCCATTCAAAGCTGAACTGCAGGGGAATGCAATGGGTCATCATCAGCATGCTTCTCCAACCTCCTCTTCCTGAGGATTTACACTTCCTCAAGTAGAAGAGTTCTTAAATTCATTCAGTCCTGCTGCCTGAAGCCCTGGACCCCAGCTGTGCCGGGAATCAAACAGCAATCTTTCATGTGCAACAGGCTGTACATGTGAGGACTTTCATATAATATTGATGAGGTTAAAGGGTCTTCTTGACTGATTTTGAAGTTTTAAAATGGAGAAGTAGGATTTAAAAATCTTGCCACAGTTTCAAAGAGAAGTTCTTCCTTCCTTCCTTCCTTCCTTCCTTCCTTCCTTCCTTCCTTCCTTCCTTCC